CATCGTAGTTCTTTCGGCACATGACAAGAACATCCCGCGCAGCAGCATCGCCATCCGCCATCATTGCTATTCTCCTAGTAGCCTCGACTCGTTTCAATGCATCTCGTCGCCGAAGGTACCACGGTGATCAAGTTCTGGCTTGAGTAGGAACAGACAGAGGGTGTTACGGATTACGAATTGCGAATTACGGGACCTTTTGGCAGCCCCGTTACGATCAATCGCCCTACGACGTCAGCAACAGGACCATCTACATCGCCCGCTGCGCCTCTATCTTCTTCGTCATCCCGGTCATCTCGGTCATCTCGACTCGATTCTCGACTTTTCGACTTCTGGACTTCTCGATCTCTATCGTTTCGGCACCAAGCGTATTTTCTCCCTCCGAGCCTTGCCACGTGCATCCTGGGACTGTAGACAGAATGGCGTCCAAACCTGAAGTGGGGGATATCTTGCTGGTTATCCGTGAGCCGCCCCCCTTTTCCTAAACTGCCATTGCGATGGTTATACCTTAGTCATATCATTGCGTCTCCTGAAACGCGAAGTCCATTAACACAACGAGTGATACAGATGATTTCCTGGCCAGGAGTTCTGATGAGTTGAGCTTGGCAAAAGGCGACCGGGTCGAGCTACTTGAGCGCGATGATGAGTTTGGTGATGGTTGGTTCTTAGGTCGGCACATGACAAATGGAAATACCGGCTTGTTCCCCGAAGGTAATTACTATCACCTGAGAGTGCACATACACTGGTTGCCGTCTGCATATTCGCACGCAAGATTGCACGGTATTAATAGGCTACAGTATACACACGGCCGCCTCCCAAAAGCGTTGGCGCGGCACCCTCGATATCGTCGAATCCGGCCGCGAGCTCGTCACCTTCCACCAATGGGACCTTACCCGACGCTGGCAAGGCCGCATCGAATAAAACGTCGGCCATAGATCGTAGCTCAAGTACACAGGCGACGCCATCTACGCTATCCACCGAGTCTAATTCTGTAGCTCTACCGCTCAATCCCGTCAAGGGCGAGAACAAGCCAGGCTCTGGAGGAGCAGCTTCTTCAGCGGGCAAGGGCAATTCTCTCGACAGCATGTTTGGAGGCTCACAACGTCGCTACTCACAGAGCCAGGACAATTCTGTCCTCCATGAGACGCTGACAGTCATCGACGAGCATATTACCGACTTGCATTCGACCCCCAACAACAGCGTTCTCAACGCGGCAACAGATTCTAGTAGTGAATACAGTTCCCACATACAAGATCGGCTTTCTTACATCCAGGGAGAAGAAACAGATGAGGAGGAGGAAGTTCCACACAGCCGGGCTGAGGTTGAGAGCTGGGGAGCTGATCAGGTAGCAGAGTATCTCTTCACTTCCGGCGTCGAGAAGAAGCACTGCGAAGTATTTCGCGACCAAGAAATTGCTGGCGAGGTGCTGTTGGGAATGGATCAGTCGTCATTATTCCTCAAGGCGTTTGACCTTGGATCTGTCGGCCGGAGGTTGAAGACATGGCAGAAAATCAAGTCTCTACAGGACGAAGTGAACGGGCTTGGAGTAGCGACAAGGCGCAATACGCAGACATTTAGCGATGCCGGATCAGAGGACTCGAGAGCTGGGCGAATGCGGAGCAGAACCAACACCCTGACGAATTCTTCGCAGAGATTCGTGGATAGGCCCCCCTCGTCCGCCCAATCGAGACGGCTATCACAAACCCCGAAGCTGGAGCCAATGACGCCAATCAGTCCCGTCTCCCCCAGGCAACTCCACGATAGTCCCACGGGGGCTTCGCACCAGAAACGACCCTCGGCAGCTTCCGTTCGAGAACTTCACCATTCACGGCGGCATTCGTCGACTGACTACCGACTTGGTGGATCAACGCCAATCAACGCCGGGACCCCTAAGATCATCTCATCAGGGACGTTCCCGCTGACTGAGGTGGCAACCCACAAAAAGCAGCCATCGTTTGACCGGAACTGGACAATGGGCAGTGCTGCAACAGCCCCGCGTCCCTTATCATCAGCAGGCTTTGAGGACCTATTGAATGCCTCTAATCCGGACCTGCTGCAACAGCCCTCGGCCGACCTTGACCGCGGCTATTTTTCCGGTACCGAAGTAGATGGTCGCAAACAACGCAACGTTCTCAAGAAACGCGATAGTCTAACCAGCCATTCGCGGAATTCCAGCTACGCAGAACAGCAGCGGGTGCGAAGCGCTACGGCTACAGCAAGGCAGTCAAGATACGGAAGTATGGATTCGCCGGATCCCGCTGTTGCCGCCCAGAAATACTACGCCAGCTCTAAAGATCACCGGCGCTCGGTTTCAGCCAAAACAACTGAGTCCATGCGCCAAAGGGCGACCACGGCAGATGGGCCACCCATTGTAACAAAGCTCGACGTTGATGGTTCCTCACCACGCTCGGTATCGAATAGACAGGCCATCCATGCAGATTGGTTTACCAAACCCGCCACTCTTGCTGGTTTTAGTGGTCTACGAGCTATCTCGGATGCCGTTACGCGAACTGAGCGTACAAAAATAGGATCTCCGACAGATTCTTCAACGAAGGAGTCGCCACGCTCTAGCACGCCCTCGGCTGGTCCTAGCTTCGAGCTTGATTCTCCTAGTTTGGGAAAGAGTCCGCTCTCAGCTACAACTACCAACAGTCGCAAGAGCGGGAAGAAGACTAAGAAAGACACCAGTGCATATCAAAGAGGGTTACTGAAGAGAAGTCCTAAGGAAGCTGTCAAAGATTCGGATTACAGCGGTTGGATGAAGAAAAAGAGCTCACACCTCATGACCACATGGAAGCCTCGCTTCTTCGTTCTGAAAGGCCGGCGTCTGGCATACTACTACTCGGAGGATGACACGGAAGAGAAAGGTCTGATCGACATCTCCTTCCATCGTGTGCTTTCTGCCGACTCGGAAAAACTGCAGGGCTTGCATGCTACATTGACGGGAGCTAGTAACACCCCGATCATGCCAGCAGACAGCAATCTAGCTCAACATGCAGACAATGAAGTCGCCGGGCTCGCCAAGGGTGATGACTCGATGTTCATCTTCAAACTCACGCCACCGCGCGCAGGACTCACCAAAGCGGTCAACTTCACCAAGCCCATGGTTCACTATTTTGCCGTCCCAAATCTTCAGCTCGGGCGTGCTTGGATGGCAGCGTTAGTCAAGGCCACCATCGATCGCGATGATGCAGCACCCATGACGTCCACATACCAACAAAAGACCATCTCCCTCACGAAGGCGCGAGCCATGCGTCACCGACCACCTGCGCTGATGAACCTTGACGAAAGGGCAGAGGAAAACGGGTCTGATGGTGACGACGAAAAGAAGGAAGGCCTTGGTATCTCCTTTGGCGAGGTCGATAGTGCGGTCTCGGGCCTCGGGAAGTTGAGTCTTCAACAGGCTGATGGCACAACCAAGAAAACGGCATTCGACAGCGAGAAGGGAGGCAATCTGAGCATCAGCCACATCACCTCTCCTCCACAAAGTGCTTAACACCCACTGCCCTGTCAAGATCTCTGGAGTTCGACTCCTGAGTCATCCTCTATTGCCACACGGAGATGACCGCATCACATTATTTTTTCAGTATTTCTCGACCTAGCAGCAGGGTCGGTCCCCAAGATGGCGACGTGACCTAAAGCTGGTCGAAAGTTGACCTTATACCCAACTCCTAACAACCTTTCGGTTTTCTAGATTTTCTTGGTAGGAAATGTCAGTATACCTGAAGAAAGACCAAGGCTGGACCTTTTGCGGCTACCCCCCTACACCTCCACTTAGCATTGCGTTTAATCGAATAGGGGGCGGTCGCGGTACAAAGCAGCAGACGGATAGGCAAGCAGGCAGGTTTGAAGCACGAAGCGGGGGTACATTATTCTTTCTTTTTTACATCCTAGGCATTATCATCAGAAACCACAACATACCGGCCGAGACATATTTAGAGCTCGAGCTATTACTACCATTACTACTACCTATTTCATGAACAGAGAGGGGGGAGAAAGAGAGTGAGAGTAAGAGTGAGGAAGAGAGGGAGGGAGAGAAAGGAAGAGGAGGACAGAAAGTCAGTGTGTCAGTGTGTATGTGTGTGAGATACGATATGATACGATGCTTCGCTCATAATCTGGCCGGGTGAAAAGATGCCTGCGATACCTAAACTACATAGTAGATACACACTTTGTGTAAGCCCTAATACAATTGTACTTCCACAAGAGCGATGGTTGTTTGATCATCTCATCAGCTCCGATGAAGAAGAGAGCGATATAAACCAACGATGGGCAAATGGAAGCTCATCATAGATGAAACGATGGTGCATGCATATCTTTCTTGTTGTGATATCACGAAATACATTGTAGTGCGCTGGTAGTATATAGCATGGTATAGGAAGACAAAATAGGGGGGAGGGAGGGGGGGAAGGGGGGAAGAAGGGTTAAGTAGATGCCGCTCAACTCCATCGTCTGCACTGCATGCCTACTACCTCTTCTGCTCACCGTCAGTGCGTCACAACCCATGAATCGGAGGCTGAAGGGCCTGTCTGTCTAACCAGAATCAAGCTGTCACCCAGCCAAACGTCCACCTACACCCACCTATCAGTGTACTAAGCCAAACAAGCAATATTTCCAGTGGTATCAGTAGGCACAATGATAGATAGACACATTTGATAACGGCCTACCTCAACAGAGGCTCGGTGTAGGATAGAAGCATACTCAAGCTGGTCCGAAGCGACGTTTCTTCCAAAAGGACTCAAAACACACGACTTTGTCTTCCCCCCCCCCCTCGCCCTCCTGGTACCATAAGATAAGAACACAGCCAACCCTTACGGACTACCTACCCCCCTTATTCCCAGTTACTGCCCCCCAATTGTGCCACCTGGCGATGCCGCTTGATCTTATCCCATCCAGCTCAGTCAGCCACTAACTCACTCACCAGCACACCCAGCCCCAACGCCAAGGGGAAGAGGAATCCCCCAAAAGAAAGGGCAAAAAGGAAAGGAATGAATCCTTTGCATTGCGGTGAGTGCGGATCGAACGCACGACCTTCAGATGTCAAGAAGAACTGAAGTAGGCTTCAGTCTGACGCTCTCCCAACTGAGCTATCCCCGCTTTGGTTGTTGAAAATTTCTGCTTCTCTTCCGGACTATATTCCGGGAAATGCTGCGGGGGGAGGGGGAGGGGGAGGGGGCAAAAGAGTGGTGCCATGTTGAAATCCGATAATGGGGGCCCACCTTTCTACCGGCCGACCGGGAAGCTCGGAGTTCTATTTTCATCTTGGCTGCCTGGTGCCTAGTCTAGTTGAGATGGAAGACAGACAACCTTGAACCAACCTGGAACCTTGAGAGAAACGGATGCATGACTCGAAAGGTACTTGTGGGCAATTGGGACTGCCAAGTCTGCTGCTACGTAGATGTAGAAGTAGGTAGGTACCGCCTGAGGAATTGATGAAGATATTGGTAAGCGTACGGTGCATCATACCGGTGCCTATAAGTAAGAGCAGCAACATTCATTCCATATGACATTGATAACTCAGCGTGTATGTGGGCATGTATGCACATACAATCTAGTACAAATCACATTCCCGACGTAGTACGATATAAACCCGTTTGAGAACGAACCCCAAAGCCCACGGGTTTTTGATGACGGGAACATGGTAAGATATAACCCGGGAGACTGGGTCCTGTCTTTAAGTATCTTACATTTGGAGCCTTTGGTATGTTCTGTAGGTAAGTAACTAAGTTACCTTACCTCGACTAGTAGATACGAGAACACATTCTTAAGTAAACCTTGGATGGTTGGTAGATGTGTTTGCACTCTAGCTCTACATAATCAGATAGTATAAAACAGCCCTATAGAATAGCACACTATAGGGGTTCGGTCAAACCTGGACGGCGTGCCCACCTGCCCACCTGCCCACCTGCCCACCTGCGCACCTGCCTACCTGCAAGCACGCATCTGCGCATGTCTGATTAGGAGAGTGCATCAACCGGCCAATTTATTAAGTTAGGCCACATGTATGTCATCTCTATAGCTAGGCGCATCACCGGTATGGCCCAATGGAAGCCCGTGCGGGTCCCTCTACGATTATACTAGGCACTATATATCCGATGTTCTGGCATGTGAAATCTGTCTCTAGGCTCCTAGGGGCGATCTATGCCTGTGCGTATATGTGCGTGTATGCGCGTATATGGATCTATCTGGACAGCGCATAGCCACTGAAGTCGTGCCATTGCCTCATGCTCTTAGCTATCGGAAGAGGAAGGCATGTAGGCCGGAGAACCGAAGCCGCCGATGATAGGTACGAACGATACGATAGGGGATGGGATGGGCAGCTAGCTCTACTATGTACTATGTAAGAGCAGCCAAACCTTGCTCAACCTCCGATGCTCCGTATTCACAAGCTGCCTACAGGTACAAATCACCAATGAACAGCCTCCGATCGCATTATTCGATCGATATGGGATAGGAAAGTAGCGGTAAGGTAAAAGGAAGAGGAAGAGGAGGAGGAGGACATGCAGTAATAATAAGCTCGTAATAATCCAGTAATAAGACAGCAATTAATCAATTTAGCGCCAGTCCCCGCCGCGAGGCTATCAGAGCCGTCGAGGGCTAACATTGACGGAAACAGCAACACTTTGCATACTTCGTAGCTAGCACATGCACCGTTCCTAGAGCTACTACATAGTAGTCCCTAGCTGCCTAGGTAGGGTCCTAGACCAACCAGCCTCCCAACTGCCTCCCAACCCCGCCGAGGAAGACCGACTTGCCTACATACCTTAGGTACCTTAGTTACATACATAGGTAGTAGACGCGCACTGGAACTGTCATTTGCATGGCACTCTGATGCCACTATCTGACAGGCCGACAGGGCGGTTAACGTTAGTCCAGCCTACCAATACCCCCATGCCACCCTGCCCGGCGAGCTACATACGTACTACATACATACATACATACATGTAGGTACGAGCTACGCTATTAGTCAACTTCGTACTTCGTAGTTAGGAGGGACCGTAGCTGCGTAATAGTTAGCGAAAAGCTCGATCCGTCTAATTTTTGAGCTTTCATATTCCATCTACTTCCGCCGTCGCCAACGCCAACGAGAATTATTCCTGTTCCTCCGTTCCTCATCTTGTGCCATTTTCCCCCTCAGGCTTCCCTACATACTCGACCCTGCAGCAGCTATCGCATCGCTTCTCCCATTCAGCCAGCCATTGGACCGATTACCTTGGTTTCATACATTCTTTCCCGATCGCAAACCATGGGAAGTTTTGTTTTCAAGTGGTACGTACGCTGATGGGTCGGAGGGGTCTCCTCTCTTCCCTACACCGGAGAATTAGGCCCTCTTAAAGCTGTTTCCATTATCACATGGTCTCGGGCATAGGAGAACGTGCGCGGCATGGTCATGGCATGGGCAAGCTAGCCTAACATCCATTCTAAGCCTCATTGACGCTTTTATATGTCAAAGCGGTTGCCATCCTAACAGTCAGATGCGCATTCTTGCCAATGGCGGTTCAACATCATCGCCATCCTGCCATCATGCCCCCTTCGATTACAGGAAATAGCCACCTGGCTCAATACCACGCGAAACTCATTGTTCTGGACCTTGTACTGACGTCGGCTTTTTCCGATCATCTAGGGCGCATCCCGCCTCCGACGTCTTTGTGACGGGAACCTTCGACGACTGGCAGAAGTCCGAGAAACTGGAGAAGGTCGGGGAGCAGTTCGAGAAGAACGTGGCACTCTCCGATGCATCCAAGAAGATTTACTACAAGGTTCGTCGCATTACGTCTCTTCAATCAACCATCCGTTGTTACTCCCCGTGCTCGAGCAGCACCGTTCGACCGCCCCCCACCACCACTCGCATCGCGAACAACATAGCCCCAACAGTATTACCATCGTAATCATCGTCAAGTAGCGACGGGGCGGGGGCGCATCGCCATCGGCAATAGCAGTGGCATTGGCATTGGCATTGGCATTGGCATTGGCATAGCATTGGCAGTGTCTCTGGAATCGTAGCTGGTCCGGCCTTACACAAATCTCACCATGCATACATACGTACTCATGTGCTGTCCCAAAAGACGCGGCATTAGAGGGACGTGATCAGTGGGATACTTATAAGGGCCGGGGGGGTTCTGCTTCGGCTTCGGCTTCTGCTTCAAGTTGAGACATCCGATCTGTGGACAGCCGGCCTGTACCCTATATAGGATGAGGCTAAGCTACATAGCTCGGGATCTCGCAGGCCGATCATCATCTTTGTTTGCCCGAGTTGACTGAGGCTATTGCAATCTGCCCCACGGTGACCTACCCACCACCCACGACCAATCGTGCCCATCGTGCCCGTCGTGCTCATCCGTCCGGTCGTTTCATCCTGTTTTCGCACCTTCCAAACGCAGGCCGAAGTGAAGGGGGTGGGGGGATGGGTGTGAAACGGCAGATGCTTGCCAGGCTTGTGTCCAGCAGCCGGCAGGCGGTTGGTCGGTCCCGTTGTACGGGCAGTTCCAACCTGGAACAGATTTCAGAGATCAGAGTTCAGCTTCGCTTGCGGATCTGTCGAAGCCCTCACCCCCCTTCCTTCCCTTTCGTTAGTGTTGTCCCCACACGCAACCTTGAAGCGGGACAAGGCCAAGCAGGAAGGCAATGGCAAAGCAAACGGGCCAAGAGCAACCCAAACCAGCAGAGATCTCTAACCCGCCTGCGTTTGGCTCAGCACTTTGCCACTTTGAGATAGGCACAGTGTGCAGGTACGGGTGCAGGCAGGTCTGGGTGTAGATGCAAGTGCAGGTGCAAGGGCAAGTGCAAGTGCAAGTGCAAATGCAGGTGCAGGTACTTCGCGCAATCCATTGATTCCGTTGCAAGAAATACTGCTGTGGGGCCAACTGAGTACATCGGCAAACCTTGATCAACAGGTGCTGCTCCTAGGTGAAGGGGGTTCCCTTGCTAGGCCAATCTAGTAGCACCTAGTAGCACGTTTTTTGCCATGAGCATGTCCCATTCCGGCATTCGGCTCTTCCGCTTACTACACAGCGCATATCAGCCTTCCCCGCGCCCATTCCTCTCACGTTACTGTTACCGCCTTTTTAAACACCATCATCTTTCTACCTAGGCAGTCATTTCCATACCATTGTGACCTCCGCTAACCAGCACTCGCCATTTGCAGTTCGTTGTCGACGGAAACTGGGTGACAGATCCCACTGCTCCTAAAGAAGCTGACGAGGGCGGCAACGAGAACAACGTCCTGGAACCTGCGCAGATCACAACCGAGCCAACCGCTGCCACCGCCATGTTGAGTTCGGCTGCTCCCGAATCGACCACGGCCGCATTGGCTGCCGAGGTTCCGCTGGAAAAGAAGGATGCCGCCGCCACGGAAACCCCGGCTGCCGATGCTGTAGTGGGGAAAAGCGAGAAAGACGAGGAGGACAAGAAGGATGAGAAGGACGAGAATTCATCGGACCTGCCTGGGACTTTCCCCGTGACTCCTGCTGCCGAGCTTGGTATCAACCCGCTCCCGGCTGCTGCTGGTGCCGTCAACCCTGTGACATTGGCCCCTGGCGAGGCGATCCCCGAGGAGGTCTCTGCCGAAAGCACTACGGCGAATGTGAAGCTCGATGCCGAATCATACGAGAAGAGTGACGCGCTTCCAGGTATTTCCCACGATTCCCCACCTCTCGTACACATAACTGATGATATTTAGGCGGAGCTCCTTTCTCTGCCCCCGAGGTTGCCACCGAGTCTGCCACCGAGTCTGCCCCCGTAGTAATTGCTGATGCGCCTGCTGATGCGCCTGCTGATGGTGATGTTCCCGAGGTCGTCAAGGAAAGCCAAGAGAAGGCGCATGTCGATCCCGAAGCTAGCGGTGTTCCCGAGGAGGTGGAAGAGAAAGCTGCCGTTGAGAAAGAGCTTCTAGACAAGGTGAAGGAAGCCCCATCCACGTCCGAAGGCACAGCAGGCGAAGGCACCGAAAAGACCGAGAACGAGGTAACTCTAGACGAGGCTGCTGCTTCAGTCGCGGCGGCAGCTACAGCTGCGGCCACTGCGGCTAGCGAAGCAGCGGTTGCAGCCGCAGTCTCCGCCAAGGACACCGTCGTCGAGAAGGCAACCGAGGCAGCTAC